TTTTTTTTTTTTTTTTTTTTTTTTTTTTTTTTTTCTAAATGCAATTATTAAAAAAAAAAAATTAAATTAAATTAAATAATATTTTGGCAATGCTATTTACAAACCCTTAGAAACTCGACTATAAATAGTCCAGCCCTTGCTTACCTTACCCTCATCACTCCTATCATATCAGTTTGAGGTTGTGTGTTCAGCCCTCCCTTCGAACTCTCGAGCCGTCCATGTCCTTTTCTTCTTTCTTTCCTTTTTCAATTGCCTAATCTCACGGTCAAACTTTTTTAATCGTGCAACGTCATGATCTGACATGATTATGATTAGTCTTTAATTTTGCAGCTTCATCAGACTTTAAGTGAAGTTCTTATTTACTGACTGGATACAACTCATGCAAAGACTAAACTTTGTTAAGCTATACACGTCTCATGTGCATGTATTTTCACTCAAATGTGACTCTAGCCGACTTACTCCTACTCTAGGTCAAGTTCTAAGGTGTAACATTGCCTCTACACCAGGTCAAGGTCTTTCATATGCAACGTTGTGTCTCATCTTGTTATTTTAATTATCAACAAATTGACATATATCGTTCATGATGTCATCTCAAGTCCGAAGATGTCATCAACCTTCAGAACTTATGCATAATTGAGACACTTTGGACATCTATCCATCAAAATATTATCGAGGCATGAACCTTCATATATCTATGTCAAGTCATTTCTGACTCCACTATATACTGACCTCCAACACAAGGAATAGGGCACAATGTTGGCGCACCCATGCCACCATCCAGCATGATCCTCAATAATTTATTTTCAAAGGAAAACACCTGAGAAATTTGTCTTGCAACGCTAGCTCATACCAATGACATGTGTCATGGGATACCTAACTTAAACTACTTAACCCTAGAGAATCGTGTGTCAGGATTCAAGCCAAAACTCCAAACTTTAAGATTATGACTTGGGTCTCTACCAGTCCTTTGAGCTTGCCTCTAACTCTCATAACATCACTATTGCCTTTAATTTTACGTATGATTAGGACTTGGCCTGATGAGTGTTACTTGCATGTTGTCTTTTGTCTTGCCAGCATATGAGGTCACAATCCGTTCTCTTTTTAGTACCGTTGTAACATTCTCTCCCATTTAAACTAGTTATCATCATCGATGACCTTTTCAATAACACAATCATATCGTGGATTATACATTGTGTGCTTCGAGTATTCTGCCTAAGATAGTCACTTTAAAAAGTGGTTGTTCACGATTTTATGGTAAATATTATTATGTGTTCCAGGCAATTAGCCACAAATTTCAGGTCGTTAGTAACATATGTGTTCCTGTAGCTAACCACTAGAGTCTCTCAATTTTGTTTATTATAATCATATAAATGTTTACATATTTATCTATTTTTAATCTCATTATTTTTAAATGATTTTTTGTAAATGTTGCCGTTGTAGCATGGGAATGACAAGCAGAGTAGAGAACAACAACTCCGAAATTTTTATATATTTTTTTTTATTTAAAACACTTCCATTCGANACTTATTTGTTTT